CTGATTCTTAATAACGTGTTTCTCAGTGTATGATGATTTGAACTATATGTTTGATATGTCGAGTAGGCTTTGAGAAAGACAATATATTATGGCTTATTCTCTTTGTGAAAATCCGAGTAATTCATGAGATATTGGAGATAACTAGTGAATACTCGATGAAAGAAATTTACCATGAAAGCAAGATTGGATTCATTGGGACGTGGAAATGGATCTGATGCAAAGCAATCACTTACAAATCGAATGATGAATTTTAATGGCTTCATAGATCTTCAACTTCTTTTGATAATGTTTTGTTAATTCTAAGAGATTAATTAGCATAGTATTATTAGTATTACAATCTTATTTTGAGACAAGATTGAATGAAAAAGGGAATAATTGATTCTCTCTTTTAAAATTAATTATTTTGTGTATCCTACAAAATTCTTCTAAGACATATTTCCATTTATACATCCCTTCAAATCTCTTTTCAATCATCTTCTTATTTTGGAAATAGAAATGTAGATATCTTCTCCTATTTCATTCTGAAATGCTTTAGTTAATTTGGGATTAGAGGCTCACAAAAATAAAATAATTTTAAGGTAAGACGTGTGTATTATACATACATTCATCAATAATCATAGTATATATTCACTCTAATTTTTAAACATACTTCGATTTGTGTAAACACCAAATGCAGATAAGTATAGCGTTACACTCAATTGTCCCAGAACAAGTGTGCCACTGGGGTAAATTAACGAGGTACTTTCTCAACATCATAAGCCTAAGAAACAATTCACCATGAAAATGGATTTGAACCTTCAAGGAGATAATTATAGTCCCTAGCAAAATTGTTTTGTATTAATAAAAGAGACACGGCAAGAATCATCACTCTTAAAGCAGGATAAAAGTAAGTCGATTACAATTTACAAAACTTGATAATAGTGCCAAAAGGTTGAAAACCACATTTTGTTGCATTTCTTCACTATCTAACCGGAGCCATGTCGACGATTTTTAAGGGACTGGCAGAAGAATGAAAAGGATTCCTTGAGCTCATTTGGTAGAGGTAGTGATAAAGGAGCAAGCACACCAAATTGCTGCCTACTATTGACATTCATGTGAGATGTAAGTGCTAATGCAGGTTGCTGCTTGTTAAGACCTTCGATGATGAACGAAAATGCCCCAAAGGTGAGACAACTCTGTAATAGAGCCTGAGGTGCACCTGAGAAACATCATTAACAAATAGAGATTTATTAGAACTCTAGTTTACAATAAGGGATGGCAAACACTCTAGAGAAATCAATTGTAAATCCATTGAATGAGGAGACGAAAATGACTAGATAAGTTAAATGGGAATGAGGTTAAGAAATTCGAATATAGAAACCTTACAATGAGCAGCACTTCATGAACTTGTATATAATTTAACAAGAAGTAAGAACTCAAAGAAAACAAAGAAAGATGCTTCTATAAATCAAATAAGGAGAATTTAATTTCATAACTGAAACTTATGTGCACTTCACGACATCATTGAAATACATGAATATCACCCAATCTAGCTATTTGCATTTTTTGAGCTTAATCATGGGTACGATAATGACATGCTGGAGTAAATCTACATATTGAAAGAAACAGTTGTACAATGTAACCCCCCCTCCTGCTCATCTTTACTTTTTCACATTCTTGCCTTCATAATCACTCAATCCGAACACATTTTTCCAATTCATTATGGGGGTGAGCCTGGTGAATGGTGATATCTTTATATCTCCCAGATTCCCACCTTATTTAACCAGAACCCGGAGCTATTATTTGCAGCCCTAAAAGTTCTACACTCATGCAGTAAGTATTGGTCTTTGTAGCTCTAAATGCCTAGCTGTGCTCTTAAAAACTAAGTTAATCACAACTTCTCCATGACATACCCCATTCACCATTGTTCCCCCTAACCACCACACAACCTACTTGAAAACATCCTTAAATTTGTCATGTCAGTCACGCATGCTACTTTCTCCAAGCCAATTCAGCTGTTGCCGCTAAGAAGGACCATAGGTTTGGGATTGATAATGGTAGTTAAAGAAGACACTAGGCTAACGACAATAATCGAAGAAGTTTACACCTTTTGCACTATTATCAAATGAATACAATTAGACTTCATGGTTTTATTCAGGTTTGAAGGAGCACTGAAACACAGCAAGCATGTATAACCATGATAGTATTTGTTTTTATCTGCACTTGTTTGGGACCTCTAATCATTTGAATCCACACCTAGAATGGCAATTAATAAGACTTCCAGGAATTGTGAATTAAAAAGGGAAGGTATAGCCCTCATAATTATGGTATAAAGTTGGAAATGTTTGAAGTACCTGGAAAACTTAGGGCAAGACCAGTGCAACATCCAGCTACTCCAGCATTGATAACTGTAGAAAGAAGAGAAAGTCAATGGAAATAAAAGGTGTTTCAACATCTGGCTGTTCAAAGTGTGTGTCATACCATCATCTTTTCCCCGTAATCTCTTCAAGAAGCAGACAACTAAACTATGAACTCCAGATAAAACTGCAAAAGTCTAGACCACAGAAAGGAAAAATGAACCAAGTCACAATTTGACCGATCAAAAGAGGGAAGCAGTAACAGTGGTTACACTGTAGTTTGCCAAAAATATCATTAAGGCATTGAGCAAGGATTGAAATACCTTTGCCGAAGCTCCTGCTTCCCCAAAGGATCCTTTAAAGCCTTTCTTCTTTATCAATCCTGAGCCTGCAACAGAACGTTGAGCAAAACTGAGTACATCACCAAAAGATTTCCCTTGCACTCAAAGAATTCCATTTATGATCCCCAGAAGCTATTTAATCTTATAGAAGCACAGTATTGAAAGAAGGGCTCTCCGAAATGCATGGTCGACAGTAGCAACAGAAGGATGTTATTAGTTAAAAGAAATCTACATAAACCTAATTCTTAGAAAATATGGACTACACAAACAAACAGAAGAAATAACAAACAACTTCAAAATATAGGGCGGTTGACGCTCATTACACTTGGAGAAACTAGAGGTTACCATAAAAGGAAAACGCATAAGACAGATTTTGTAGTCAGTCATCAAATAAAGTAAAGGATGAAGAAGATACAAGAAATCAGTAGTCGAATTCAGAGCAGCCTTCACCTGTCACACTTATAATGTACTAAAATACACAACTATAGTCCATGTACGCCCTCCAACAATCATACAAGAGTGAGAAACAGACCATCGCAATAGAGCCAAATACAATAATTTGCAAAAGCACAGATTCCGTCTCACGAGAGACTGCGAGACTCCAACAAACAAAATGCTGAAGGTGAGCATAAAGACTGCTATATCAGGTTAGCTGCAGCACTGCACAGGTAACAGGTTGATACACAATTCTACAATAAATATCTAAAACTGGTACCAATATAGATTGTCAAATGTATAAAACAACAAAACATTAGCTTCATTTAACTCCGAGGAGAACACAGTCCCGAAAATAACAATCAGAAGTAACTCATTTCAACTATTTCACAAAAAATCCAGCTGAACTAACAAACTAACCAAATTGCACCTATTAACGAGTCGATAATAAACAGATTGACGGAGGAAAATGCATAAAACAATAAAAAAGATAAAATAGGTTTCAGATAACTCCGTAGAGAACACAGTCCCGAAAATAACAATCAGAAGTAACTCAATTTCAACTATTTCACAAAAAATACCAGCTGAACTAACAAACTAACCAAATTGCACCTATTAACGAGTCGATAATAAACAGATTGACGGAGGAAAATGCATAAAACAATAAAAAAGATAAAATAGGTTTCAGATAACTCCGTAGAGAACACAGTCCCGAAAATAACAATCAGAAGTAACTCATTTCAGCTATTTCACAAAAATCCAGTTGAACTAACAAACTAACAAAATTCCAGCTATTAACTCGTCGATAATAGACAGATTAACGGAGAAAATTGCATAAACAATTACCGTATCCAAAAATGGATCCCATGAAGGCTCCAGCAGCAGAGTCACCGGCGAATCTAAGGAGGCAGACAACAGGACTAGACGGAATCGCTGTGGTTAACGCATCAGAGGTGAATTGAGGATTCTGGCCGGGTGACGGGTTCGCCACCGGACTTGTTTCAACGTCGGAATCGGATTCAGAGTTCGGTGAGGTCGCCGGCGTCGCCATTCTCAATTTCCAAATGCTAAACCCTAAGTTTTGTCAATCTAAAAGTTCTAAGATATTTTTGCGGATTTCATTTTGGATAGTACCCAAATTGTTCTGTTAAACAGAGTGTCACTCCTAGAAACGACGCCGTTTATTTTCTATACTTAGGTCCAACTCTATGTAAAATGTGTATTACTTTGAGTATATATCAATTTACGTGACACTTTTTTTTCCATCAGTTTCAAAATAATATCTTTCTTAAACTTAGTACTCATAATATTTAACTCCAAATTTCTCAAAAACATATTAACTATGAGCAAGTGTCAATTAGTATTTCATACTCAAGGTTGAAGAATTTAGTGGTCAATGAAATATGTTGAAATTATGAGGTCTTGTGTTTAACCCCAGCGCAAGTTAAAATATTAGGAGATTTCTTCACACATGTTTAAAGTACGAACTTATTATTAATACATTAATGAACAAAGTTAATCGATATTTGTGTCAGAAATTCATTGCTTACATTATTGCGAGACAAAATGGACATCGAAAACTTCACGCAACTTTTATCGTGTTGCAGTTAATTTACACTTAAAGCTATTTTTATAACGGAAAAGTCACTCAAAGTTACTACGTATCAAAAGTCACTCAATTTTGCTCAAGTATCAAAGAAAAAGTTTCAATTTAGTTCCAGCTTCTAGCTAGCTCAATCAGTGAGCTGGAGTTCCATTCTTTCAATCTTTCCACCAGAGCGCTAAGTAAATCGCTCTTCGGATTGAGGTCCAATTCATCTCGTAGGCTTTATTATAGAAAGTATACTTGCATAAAGTTGAATGACTTTTTACGATACTTAGGTACACATTAGGAAACATCAAGCATTATTATTAACAAGCTGAAGAAACAGCTCACAACAAACGTCAAATCTGGTCAATCAAGTCTCAAAAGAATGATGAAATCAATAAGAATACAACCAATTCATCCCTAAATAAACACTAAGGTGTGATCAAAGATTAGAAAGTTGTCAGCAAAGTCCCAAGCAGGGTCTTCGCCTGTTTCCATAGTTCAATCAAATATGTCTCATATGTGTTCTTGATAAATGGCACCAAATTCTGCTCTCCATGATTGATCATCATCGTACTCAGAATGTTGGATGGTGTTGTTGTTGTCATTGTTTGCTACATCAGAGTCTTGCCTGTAAATTGGCGGTCTCAACGCTGCTTCTGGCAATCGGCTCTCAGCAAGATACTGTTTCATTGTTATCATCTCCATCTTATGTTTTCTCTTCAGCTTCTCTATTTGCTTCTTCAATCTCTCATTCTCTTCCTTTGATTGTGTAAAGTTCTCCTGTAAAAAAAGTAAAGAAATGTTTGATCAAAACAATGAGTTATGTAATTGAATAGACCGGTGTGTGTCCATGTTTAAATGCAAAATTACCTCAGCAAGTGAAGCTGTTTCCTCAGCTTCTCTCAATCTAACAAGAAGTTCTCCTGCAGCATGAACAGCTTCAGCAGTGTCTTTAAGTTGAACTCTCAAGCTTTTATTCTCCTTTTTCAGCATTTCCCTCTCTCTTTCCCTTTCCACTCTCAAAGCTGAGAGCTCCGCAGCAAGAGATTTGGCAAAACGAGCACCATGACCTTTCTTTCCTGCTTTTGCTGCAGCATTTTTCACATCTTGTATCCCTTGCAAGATCAACTTATGCTTCTCAGCTAAGTCATTGTACTTCTCCTGTAATTCTGCATAATGCTCAATTATTCTGGCTTGCCCAAAGACCGATCTTTTGAGGGCATCATCCAACTCATCTGTGCATTTCTTCTCCAACATTAATTCCATTGCCACCTTTTCTGCACGCTGGCGATAAGCCTCAAGATCAATTCTAAGCTCATCAGTTAGACAAATCCACTCGCTCTCCATTTCAGTCCATCTTTCTCTTTCCTTCTCAAGTTCTTCACCAGAACTTGTAGCTGCATATACACCACTCTTTCTCAGCTGCATTGATTGTGCTAACAAAGAGGATCTGGTTCTTTCAATTGATTTATTTGTAGATGCTCCATCTGACTTCAATTGGGACCTTAGGCCTCCAATTTCTTCAAGTAGTGCTTCTCTCTCAGCCATATCAAACATTTTTTTCCCACCACAGTTTTCCACATTGCCCTGAATTTCTTTAGTTTCATACTTCTCTCCTGCAGCTTCAGGCTCAGGACTTTCATCATCCCACTTCAGGAGCTGAAGCAAACCACAAGGCGCAAGTAAATAATAAGAAAAATGGGAAAAAGCTCAACTCCAATAAAAGAAAGCTAAAAACAGCACTCACCTTTGGGATGTTGGGTGATTGACTCCCATTCTGATAGATTAGTGAAGCTTGATTCTCATTGTCGTGGAGATCAACAACATCGTTGCCACAGTCAACTAGAGAACTCTGTTCTTTTGTGCATTTACAGTGTGCTAGCTGCAAGGACAAGATTCATAATAGATGTCAAACTTTAGGTAATTTTCTGTCATATTGAAACAAATTACTAGAGTGAAAGAACTCTTACTAGTTGGTTTAGCTGCTCAAGTTTGTCTGCTTGATCCTTGCATACACTTTCAAGCTGCTTCTCTCTCTCTAGAGCTTGGAACAAAACTTTCTCCGAATCCTGCCAAAGAAGGTAGAATAACATTTAACTTCAACATTCACAATGAGCTAGCTAATAAAAGAGACTCAAGCAACTCATTTTTATACTTACTTGTTCCGTACTTGCCCCTTCCATGGGGACCATCCATGTCCCAGTGCTATCCTTAACAACACTAGAGGAAGTTGCTTTCGTCTTGCACTTTGGGCACAGAAATGAAGTGGCTACAAAAGGAGAAGTTTGTCCTTCTTCGGATGATGTTTGAATAGAAGCATTTGCCTTATCATTTGACATTGAGCTTGGGTTCACTGCCAAATGTTCAAAAGAGAAGGAAACTAAAGATTTATTTGATGCGGAATTCCTTTGGTGATAATCAATGATCTCTAGTCCTCTATGTAGACTGGCAGCCAAGGATTCAGTTGGCCCAGGAAATATTCTGCTGGACCTCAAAGAAGACTGGACAAGGTCTTGTTTCTGTGGTAGGGACGGCAATTCAGAACTTTTGGAGGAACATTGAATATTATCTTCACTGGAGATAATTAAGCTCTTCCTCTGCATGTTCCGAAACTTTGGGGACTCAGATAACACCGGGCCCGGAAGATCAGCAGAATGGCGAGATGGGCCGATTGAGATGCTGCTACAGTATTCAGGCTGCAGTGTTTCCATCTCGTGGTCAGCATCAAGGGTCTCCTCCAGTATCTCTTCTGAGTTAATTTCTTCACCTTCACTTTCTTCTGAACAGCTGATATAGTGTTCACTTTCTCCAGATGAATACTTGAGAGAGTTTGAGTTATTTCCACGTGAACCACGTAAGTTATCGATCTGGAGCTGTAGTTCTTTTATATCATCCTCATTTATGTGAACCTCTTCTTCTTCACGCTCATTATCTATGTTAGGTAAGATCAGTGAACGGTTAAGGCTCACTCTCAACTGATTCAAGCTTTCACGTACATTTGGTCCTCTGAAGGATCCATAGTTGCTTCCGACTGAAATGCTTGCACTTGACCGAGCTCTTATAAGCTCTTCCTGTAAGCAATAAAGTCAGATACAGTTTATGTTCTAGAGGAATCGGATGAGCAGCTGCCCCAGTGAGACAAGTGAAAGTACCTTCAATTGGCGAATCTGATCACTCAGGCCATTAACATCGTCTTCTGTTATTTCATTTACCAATGGCTCATTTGGTATGAGTTTCACCCGTTTCCCAAATCTCAGAGTGCTTACTGTTTCACTATTATGCCTGCATAAATGTTCCTCAAATTAGTGGCATTTAAAAGATTTTAAGCATCTAATGTGCTAGTTTCATGCACGTCATAGGTAACAGAATTTCTGTAATATTGAAAAGCATGAAGCATCTCTGTAGTATTTATACAGAAAAACTAAGTGAGTTGAAAAGGGAAATACTTGTTTTCTGGGCTGATAGCACATATGACGGAGAGTTTAGCATTCCCTCCAAGTGATTCTCTCATTAAATGAGTCAAAGTGGAACTGCTGTACGAAACATCCTCAAGTTTCCTGGACTGACTCCTTTCAGAGAGGACATTAACCAAATGCCTGCACCAGTTTAAGAAACAATTAACTAGCAGTAACATGCCTAAATAACTGGAACTCTATTATATTTTCTTTCAAAGCATAACACTTGTGTTATACATCAATGATAAATAGATTTCACAGAAAATATGGCCATTTTTTACAGTAGATTTAACATTTATGAGCTAATTTATGAACAGACTATCAACTCCTTCCTTAGAGTCACTTATCAAGTCCTCTGCCTACACTTTTGGCTTAGCATACAGCACGAAGGCATCACTTTGAGAATGCAAACATTTTGAAACTTAAGGCAATAATGTTGGCAAATGGCAATATAATATGTAAGAAAGTTTGAGTGCAAAGACAATAAACATCAAATGATTTTTTAAGTCTACAGCCACAACATGCAAGAACAAACAGTAAAATGTATGTATAAACCATACCCGAGCAGTGATGTGGACTTCTTTACGTACTTCCCTTCCTTAACAAACTGTTTACCGGCATCATCAGGTATATTTTTGTCAAATCCAGCAAGATCAACAAGGCTCATTCTGCTCATCTTTGAGCTACCAAAACACGTTGATGAGGACTCCTGAAGCAATATTGTTTTATTAGGCACTTGAAAAGATTAAAGGTCTTCAACTATGAAGATAAAATTTTAGAGTGAGAAATTAGAAGGTAATATGAATTCCGGGGTTTGAAAAGAAGATGAATGTATAAAATTTCTTCCTGACAAAACACACAAGAAAAATGTATAAAATTTCTTCCTGACAAAACACACAAGAAAAATGTATAAAATTTCTTCCTGACAAAACACACAAGAAAAATGTATAAAATTTCTTCCTGACAAAACACACAAGAAAAATGTATAAAATTTCTTCCTGACAAAACACACAAGAAAAATGTATAAAATTTCTTCCTGACAAAACACACAAGAAAAATGTATAAAATTTCTTCCTGACAAAACACACAAGAAAAATGTATAAAATTTCTTCCTGACAAAACACACAAGAAAAATGTATAAAATTTCTTCCTGACAAAACACACAAGAAACCAGATATCATTGTTGGAAGATACCTTGCACCAGGACTCAATGACGCAGGTAAAAACAATATGGGACCTAGAACTCTTCGAATTGATGCTCGTTGATCCAACTTTTCTACTTGAAAGGCCCTACAATTCAAATGCAAAAGAATAAGAAACAATAAGACAAGTGAAAGCTAAAAAAGCATTCTGACAGAACTACAAAATAGTTCAAAGAATTATGATAGGCCCGTGCACCTTAATCAACATTTGGGATACGTCCTCATAGGTAGACACATATTCCTCAGTTATGTTCTCAACATAGAATCCAACTCTTGGATCATCCATTATCTGGAATAACCAAAAAGACGAATCTTCAGCATTCTATTTTTCATATAGTGAATAGCGGCTAGAACAATATTGTGTTCCAAGATTTGCAACTAACCTTTAAGTTTCTCTGTGTAGGATCAAGTAGATCCCCAATGTGTTCATCATATATCTGGAAAGAAGAAGTGTGACATGATTGGACTTGGAACAAGTATGCATCATATGTGAGGAAGGGTAAATATTTAAAATACATACCTCTAGGAATGAGCAACGACACTGGTAATTTATCTGTTTACCTTCAGAGTTCTCTTGCTCCTGATCAATCAAGGAATTATCTAAATATCAGAAATGTCTTGACAGTGTTCAGTTTTAATCTTTGACTGGATAAGGAACTTACCTTTTGTATGCTAGAAAACAACGTCTGGAAAATGCGCGGCACAATGCCTTGAAGACCATTAGGTGATGGAACTTCAACAATGGAACTAGGAGGTCCCCACATTGTATAAGTCTTGCCACTTCCGGTCTATCACCAAAAGAATCACTTCAGCCATCAGATACAGATTTGTTGTGACACAATGAAAATGAAACATTACAAGTAAAACTAACCTGTCCATAAGCTAAGAGAGAAGTGTTGTAACCTGCCAATGCATCCTTAACTAAAGGGGCACCAACCGATTGAAATATGTCTTCCTGTTATCATGAGAAAAAACAGCTTAAATAAGAAAAATCCCTCTATTATTTGAACCTTGTAACATCAGCATTCAGCAAAATCAGAGCCCTCTTTAATAAAAACAAATAAGCCTCTAGCCCAAACTAGTAGGGGTGGACTATATGTATCACTCTATATATTTTACAATTCTATTTGGATCTCTTCATGTAAATTTAATACTTCTCTAAAACTAGAGGGTCTAGATCTCTCACTTACCTCTATTTGACTAATGTAAGTGTAACAACAACTAAATTATTCTAACTAGACACTATGGGTTATTGCCTTTATTTTCTTCCATTGCTCAACTCTTAGCTAAGTACCCTCCTTAATTACAAACATCAGACATTAAAATGAAAAGGATTATGACACCAAATGAACTAAGCACCATCTAAAAGCACAATTGATTCAAAAAAGCTTGCAAGGCAGAAACTTAGGAGTTAAATTTACCAACCTGATTCGAATTTGAACCAAAAACCATGTCAAAGTTAAACTTTCTATCAGCAACGCACACTGAGGTATCAGAAACTTTGCGAACAGCTTGGCTTCCACTCTCAATACCATTAGCAGGCCTAATCCTTGCAACAACCTGTCAAACACCCAGCATACAGAGCACATACAGATCATTTATAGCTCAAAAAGCACAACAAAAATGGAAGAAATTCAGTAAAACAAGGGAATAGATAAACCCACAGTCCATAAAATCCTATTAAAATCTCAATAAATACTAGATTTGAACCCATAATTTTAACAGTATTAAGTTTAAATCCTGAATTCACCTCTTTCCTCGACCACCTAACTAAAATCAGCAAGGATTTATCATTTTACCTTAACTGGTGGATCAGGAGCTTCTGATGTTTGTTCCTGTGCAACAGATCTGGTGAGTTCTGCCGATACATCACTATCAATCGTCTTCAAGACGGGTTTTTTAAGTATCGAACTTGTAGGTAACAACGGTGGATCACTGATCTGAATGTTGGGATCTATAGGAGCAACATTTTCACTGTTCATTTTGTGTTTAAATCGGCTTGAACTCAACTTTTTCTTAGTTGAAACTGATTTTGGAAGTAGATTTCGGAACGAAGAGGCAGAAATGTTGCCTAAGAATCTGTTTTCTGACATTTTTGAACTAAGAGAGAGCGTGATTTTGACGGCGGTGGCGGCGGAGGAGAAGAGAAAAATGGAGAGGAAGAATTTGAATGGTGAGATTTGGGGAATTTGAGAGACGTTAAAAGATGTATATTGTGAAGAAATATGACCGTTACTTGATTGAGATTTTAAATGTTCAAATTGAGAGAGGAAATTGACCAATTTATCCTCTTAATTACACTATATTTTCAATTGTAGGATTATTTTTTTTGGGCCTTATATAGATGTTGGGCCAAGACCTATGTAAAGTAAGGCCCTCTAAGACTTGATGAACTTAGAAATAGCGTTAACTGATCACTTTTTGGTTTGTTTTTTAAAATTGCCAATGTCATCGAGTTTAAGTTTCCATGACAATGTCTCGGAGTTTCATGTGGGCTGTGGAGCTTAAAAACTCCATGATAGTGGCTATTTTTTAATTGTAAAGACGAAAAAGTTGTTGTTTGTGAAATTTACGGAATTTGGAGGGAGAATTGCACAAATAGACATTTTAGGACCTCTATTTAAGGAATAGTTGAAGTGTATACAGTCTTAAAATTTAGTCATTTAGAATCAAACTATAAACCTTCGTGTTTGAAGTTTCAATCACTAATAAGATGTTTGAATGCAGAGTTAGGTTTTGTCGATTTGAAACTTTAAATTAGAAGGTATGAAGAAGAAAAAATAACAGTAGAAGCAATTTGAACTTTCTATTTGAGTGACCTGTTGATGAATTAAATTAAATCAACATCATATGAAGCATACAATATTGTTGAATTGGGAAATAAGTAGATGATGCAAAGATAAATTACAATTAGCAATTATAATTCAAATATCATTTTAATTTTACTCCAAGCCATAATACTTTATTTACACATGTGTTAGTGTATGCTAAATTGCTAATGACATTAATAATTAGAAAAAAATAGATAATTATGGGGGATAATGTTGGTTGGGGGTTGTAATTGATTAGGGGTGGGTGGGGGGCTGAGGGGTAACAAAGTCAAAATTGCAGCATTTTAAATAACGTACCTAACAGTGGCACTACACAATGAAATAACAAGTGTCAAACATACTTTATGGATAAGTGAAGTCATCAAATTGGGCACTTTATAGAGAAGTATCAAGATTTTTTTCCATAATCATTATGATTCGACTAATTTAGATTCAAATAATATATTATTTCATTATCTTGGGGTATGAAAGCGAAATTTTTAATTAAAAGATAGATGAAATTTATTTGTTTGATCATAACATTTTTTAATAATAAAGTATTCAGATCATTTTAATTATAATCATCCGTTTTTCAATATCTACTGACCTAGTTAACATGATTACATTTTCCATACTGATCACTAAAGGAGAAATAATTTGGAGCTGCAATCAGAAACCTCTAATTAAAGGTGGTTAAAATTTAAATACAAGATTATACTATTTAATTTCCTTTGTCTTAACCTTAATTGTTAAACTAAAGACAAATTGTTAAAGTCGGAAAAAGTGATAATAGTTTTGAATGGGACATAATCATATGGGGAAAAAGAAAAATAATAATGGGAAAATACTTTCAACTTTTAAAAAAATAATATCTCCTCACCGTAATTTCTCACTAATCTTACTTTAATTTACCAAGAAAATTATGATATATATCGTTCGATAATTAATTTATTAATATGGTCAAAATATATATAACTTATACATTAATCATGTATATACAATGTACATAGTACATGTATATTTAGTAATAAACATATAAATCTATATATTTTATATATTTTTTTATAAACTAGTTGATCGAAATATTTAGAATCGTAATTCTAAACAAATAACCGTTGAAAAATTCTAGAAAAGATGAAGAAGAGCAAGAATATATGAGCAAAAAAAGTCCAATTTGATCTTAGATGACTTTATATAAAATTCAAGGGGACCAATAAATTTAATAAAAAGATCCAACTTTTGGTGACCCCATATTATATATCACTTTAGCTTTTGGATTATTGGGGTAGTAGGCCTAATACTTTGAATTATGTGGCAAATTATACTAAACAAAATATAGTTTTAAAAAAGATGGTATGCTCTTAATGAATAAAAAAACCTCAATTAGCGGAGAAACTATGATATTTTTTCATAGGGCTCCACCAAAAGGAACAAGTTTTTCGTGTTAGATTTTTCATTTGGTGTTTCGTATTCACTTTCAATATTAGTCAAATTTTTAGTTAGAGTTATAATTATAAATTTGTTAGTTTATTGAGTTTCAAAATCTGAATATAGTATTTTTTTATACATGTTGAATCAAAATTTTAATATAAATATAGAGTTTGAGTTAAAATTATTAAATTTTGCTAAACGTAAACTATCCTTTTAGTACCCCTTTTTATTTTATTGTCTTGATTAATTCAAATTCAAATTCAAATTAAGAAGTGAAGTACTTTAGTACATAAAATGTTATTCATAATAAATAATTTTAAAAAGAATCACCTCCTTTTTATTGTTTGAACTCAATATATCTAACTCTTATTTGGTCTGGATTTTAAAGTTGTGTTTCAAATCTATATTCTACTTGAATTTATTCTTTTTGAATTTTGCTAGTGAATGAATTTCTAAATGCGGATTTTCAAAATATATTCCACAATCTATAACCAAATAAATATTTAAAGACAATTTTTTTAAATCAAATTTAATTAAAATATTATTTTATCTCAAACTTTGGTGGTCATGATTTGAATAAAATACAAGTTTTATAAAACATAGAATATGGTCACCCGTGACGTTTTTTTCCCTTTTTTTTTGAACCTTATCCTTTTGTCTTTTTTTCTACACCAAAAAGTGTCATACAAAAAATAAGTCATGTGAAAACGTCATATTTTTTGACGAAAAAAATATTAAAGGGAGAAACTTTGGCTACATTTTCGTATTCTTGTGCTAATTTTTTCTACGTCCATATTTATTGAAAATGATGAAAAATGTTGTTTCAAGATTCCTCTTCCAATGTTCATTTTTTTGGATTGTTATTTTAAAAATAATTGATGTTTACAAAGTTTTTAAAGTTTAGTCTATCTTCGATGAATGTGAATTTTGAGTTGTTAAAGTTTTGAATGTAGCTATCTTAAGTCGACTCATGGAAGAAAGTATAACGTATGTAAAGTGTGAGAATATTCGTAAAGTAATTGTAGACTTGAATTTATTTATTTCGTTGAATTCAATAGTTTTGACACCAATTTGTATTTATGCTATATGTTTATCAAAGTTCAAATCTTATATGTGTTTTGATTACCTTTTAAGCTTTTCAGTAAATTTCATTTAGATATTCAAACTACAAATTATTTCAATTAAACATCTGAACACATGTTTCTATTAAGCATTCTTTGTTTAAATTTTGATAAAAACTTTTGTGTGTGGTCTCAATAAGTCATAAAATCTCTAACTTGTTCCAAATTGAAGCTAATATATATAATTAACGAGATAACATAGTCTATATAGAGTTATAGACGTCTGAGTTTTGTTCCAACTTTAAACAAAAGAGTATCCAAATGAAATTTACCTATACTTTAATTTTATAGCATTTCACAAACTCATTTTTACGAAAGATCTTTGTTTTCACCCATAAAAAATAAGAAAATATCATTCAAGAGATTATTTTCACAATTTAAAAAGTTGTCAATATATTAAGCCTGATTAATCAAAATATAACAACAACATATCTAGCGAAACTCTATTATCAGATACAAAAATATTATTTTCGATAAACTCTCGGTTATCTTAATGTATAATTTGTCACATCCCAAGAAATTTGCAGGTAGTAAGACACGCTCCAATGTGCAGACACCAACTGTTTAAACGCACTAAAAAGTCCATTCATTGATTGGAGTAGTGAGCCAATGGCAATGGGTCGGCGTCTACTGTGGGGCTAATACTAAACTTTTTGTATTAAAAAATGCAAAACAAATCCTAATACTGATCTACAAAAAATAGTATAAAATTCCAACAGATAGTACAAAATTAGAGCACAAATATTTAGGGGGACTTTCTGACAAACTTCCAAATCCACTATCATCATTCTTGTTGATTTTATTCTCTGCAAATTTCAATTATTCTTCTCCTTTGCTTCGTTTTTTGAGTTGGGTTTTCTTCTTTTTCCATAAAAGTTTACTCTTTTGGATAGTTTTTTGGCTTAATAATCAGAGACTCAATCTGTAAGTAAGAATTGTGTTCATGGACTTTTAGTTTTTTGTGTTGTTATTCTTTGACTTTGTTCTGGTTTTTGCTCAATTCTTGATTTTGCACTTGTTTTGTTTATGTGTTGAGACTGTTTTCTGTTCTTGATTTTGAGGTAAGTTTTGTGTTTTTTTGTCTTGAAGGGGAAAAGGGGTTAAAGATTGTAGCTTCTTTTTTTTATCTAGATTTGGTGCTGGATTTAAGTTGAATAGTTGAGGAGAAAGGTAAAGATTGTAGCTTTATGCATTCTCATGGGTGCTGGATAGTTAAACACTTTATAGGGTTCTGTTTGTAGGTTTATTTATTTTATCTTTGGTGTCTGAGTTTAGTTTTGAACACTTTGGGAGGAAGTTAAAGATTGCAGCTTTATTTACTTCTCTGAGGTGCTGGATGGTTAATACTTTATGGGGTTTTATTTTGTAGCTTTATTTGTTTGTCTTTGGTGTCTGAGTTAAGTTTTAACACTTTGGGAGGAAGTTAAGATTGTAGCTTTATTTGCTTCTCAGAGGTGCTGGATAGTGAATACTTCATGCGGTTCTGTTTATTTTTAAGATCAGAGCTGTGTGATTTGTTACTTTAAGGAGGGAACCTGAGTTTTGAAGTGATTCTTTTTGGTGTGTTTTGAGGTTTTGCCTCTCCTTCCTTTTATCTTTTTTCAGTTTGGTATGAGTAAAGCTGAAGTCTTTTTAAAGTTAGGAGAATTGATTGAGTTAACTAGTTGACTAGATTCTGAATTTGTGCTTGTTGATGAGTTTATGCTCTTGAAGGGTAGACTTGGAACAACTGTAAAGTTGTATCCGTGTGACCTATAGGTCATGTTCGAGTGGTGGAATCAACCAATGATGCTTGTATCAGGGTAGACGGCCTACATCACTTGGCTTCTTTTTTTTCTTTTTTTAGGAGCTTATGGTTTTGGTTATATGGTATTAAGTATGATTGTGTTGATTCTTTAGCATAATTTCGGTATATTTCATAATTTTGACTGTTTCTGCCCATTCTATGCTATATTATCCTTCATCTTAAAATTAATTAACATGTTGCTCCAATCTCAATCTTTCACTTTAGGGTTATTTTTGTTCTATTCGAGGAAAAAGATTGCATTTTTGTTTCCATTTACTTCTTTCGGTTATGAATTGTACCTGTGTGGAATTCTTCTTCTTCTTAACATGATCTTGTTGTTATCTTTGATCCTTCATTTGCCATGCTATCATTTATGAGCTCTGAATTCTTGTCACTTGGTCCAAATATGTATCTGAGTTAGGTTAACGAGTTTATTCGTTAAGGTTTTCACTTTAAATAAAGCTGCTAGTTTTTGTTTGATGGAGCATGTTACACATTAGGTGAATTCCACATTGAAATAGGAGAGGAAAGTTTAAGAGCTTTATAAGGTATAACACAAGTTCACGTGATAGCACACTTTTTGGCTCGATGATTGCATAGCCCAAGGGACAAATCCATGAGGTCTGTTGGGCCAAAGCGGATAATACGTATCATGGGTTTGGGCTGTGACATGTAGTGTGGAGGGACCATTCGTGGGGGGCTAGTTCTTATGGCAAACTCCAGTATAGCTGTTATGTGCTCCAAAACAAGTTTGTTTTAAAAACATATATATATCTACTCCTTCAATTACTAGTCGGTCCTCTGTTATATGCTATTTAATTTATGGAGATTTTTCAGTTTTTGCTCATAGCTATGTGTTCAGTTTTAGCCGATGTGATATCTGATATTGATCTTATCCTTCGATTTTCTCAGGTTCTATTTGCGGTCAGCTTCATGGATTCTCCACAGTCTGTTGTGTCACCATTTAAGGGTTCCTCCGTTTTCGCGGACTCTGAGAAGCAAAGCAATGAATTTTTCAGCAAGAACCCTTCTGGCCTATCCCGGGGAATTTCTGCTCATAGAGAGGAGGCCGAAGTCTGCAACATGGAGGACTTCATTGGTGTTCTCGACGTGTACGTACATCAGGCTAGAGATATCCACAACATCTGCATTTACCATAAACAAGATGTTTATGCAAAACTTTGCCTTACAAGTGATCCTGAAAGTTCAGTCTCCACTCAAACCATTAATGGCGGTGGGAAAAGCCCAGTCTTCAATGAAAATCTAAGGCTCAATGTTCGTACGATAAAATGTTCTGTTAAATGTGAGATATGGATGATGAGCAGGGTGAGGAATTATTTGGAAGACCAATTGTTGGGATTTGCACTAGTCCCCCTATCTGAAATCTTCATGAAAAATGGAAAGCTAGAAAAAGAGTTCTCTCTTTCGTCGACTGATCTCTTTCACTCCCCAGCAGGATTTGTGCACTTGTCCCTTTCCTACAATGGAACTTCACCTGAAGTTATTGAAATTCCTGCATTTCCCATATCAGAAACTGATGCATCTCGGACAGACAGCGAAGCACGTGAGTCCCTTCCAAATGAGTTTGACAAAATTGAGTTCCCAGATCCTAAGATTGTAAATGAGAATAATCTTATGGTCTCCGAGTATTTCAATATGCCAGGCAGTAATCCAGATTCTCAAAGCTCGGATAGCTTGGTCTCTTCTGATACAGAAAACCAGCTCAGTCCAGAAGTTGATGTCCATATGGAAAATGTTCCCAGTGAGGTTGCTAATTTCCACCAATATCCAAAGCGTGATTCGCCTCCTAGCAGCATATCAACCATCGACTCTCCAACAGCTTCGCATCCTGCAGGCTCTCAGTCCTCTGAGACCCAAGGAGCTTCCAAGTCTCCAGGGGAAGAATATGCGTCTGCCTCTAAAGAATGTCCCACAGGTAAAAATAATGTTGGAAATGCTGAGAGCAACATATCGGAAAGCAAGCCCCCCAGTGCATTTCCAAAGCCAGTGGTCATTGAGCTAGAGCAAAAGGTTGTGCAACAGGATATTGTGGATATGTACATGAAAAGTATGCAGCAATTTACTGAGTCATTGGCAAAGATGAAGCTTCCACTGGACATTGAAAATGGGACAACCAGTTCTGAGAATTCAAGTTCAGATCAGACATCGCAAACACCCAAAAGCACTAGCTCACGGGTGTTCTATGGCAGCAGAGCTTTCTTCTAAGCTTTTGTGAATGGTTCTTGAATGACCTATAGCGCGATTAGGAACAAGTCTAAACGGATAAGTGAACACTAAGGATTTTATGAATGTGGTATTTATCCATTTTATCTTGTGAATGCTTAAAATGCTCTGAACTAATCAACTTTTGTCTGTTGAAGACTTGTTTTACTTCATCAGTACCTTGTAGTTAATTAGAACTTTGTTCTTAATTTATGCTCAGCATTTCCCTTGGAATAATTTTGAATATGTGCTGTGCTATTTCATTCTTAGTGTACTACAACACTCCAGTCTAGAGACAACAAACACCCCCCGCCCCTCCCGGCCTTGTCGTGCCTGCCTTGCATGCTATTGTCTGATATTAGTTTCTGCAACAAGTAATCAGCTCGAGTTCGATGAAGAAAAGTGTTGTTGTAGGCTGATTGTCAACAGAAGAAACACTGTTTTTTTTATAAGATATGAAACTTACATGAATAGTGTTTCTGCTTACATCCACTCACTTCGAATCTTTCACACAACTAGCCACACATTTCAGAAAAATAACTTGAAAGAGTCTTGGTAAAAGTTCACATACATAAAGAAGAAAGCTCTCAAACTAAAGGGCATACACATGCTTCATTGAACCAGGGGTGGATTCAAAAGAAGTCATAGAAGAAGGAGAAATGTCTTCTTGATCATTCACAATTTCTTCGATTATCTCCAAGACCTCTGTCATAGTAGGTCGCTCATCAGGCAAACGATCCACACACTTGAGTGCAACGTTTAGTAGAGGGAAAGCATACATTTCATAGTTGGCAACTTCACTATCAAACACTTCTCCAGTCCATTCTTCCCTCACTATAGATTTCACCCATTTGACAAGGTCTAATCCTGTCTTCTCCACAACTTTACCTGTTAGCAGTTCCAGCAGAATCACCCCGAAGCTATAGACATCAGTTTCTTCTGTCAACGTTTTCTCAGGGGCTGTATAACCATTGTCTTTATAGAGGCAACTTTTGTCAGGGTCTAAGAATTTGTAATAGCCATACTCACTTATCAATGGCTCCCCGTTATCGCTTAATAGAATGTTTGATGGCTTAATGTTGCCATGAGGAATGACATTGCCTTTCTTTGAACTTCTGTATATGTACGCGAAACCTCTTGCTATGCCAACTGCAATCGACAGCCTTAAGTTCCACGGGAAGTTCCATTTCCCCTCTGCATAATCTGCAACAATAAACAACAACAATATGATATAAAATTCTGAATTACAAGATGAGAAATTTGAAGTTCTTGACTACTTACTTTCGAAAAGTGTTAGTAGACTTCCACTGTTCTGATATTTGTAGATGAGCATTTTTTCATCATTGCTAGAGTAATAAGCAACAAGTGGAAGTACATTTTGATGCTTCAAGCTCCCTATCTTTTTCATCGTTCGCGAGAACTCCTTGAACCCCACTTGTAGTTTCTTCAGTCTCTTGAGAGCAAACACACCACTTCTACTGATATGAACCTTGTAAAGGCTGCTGCAAATGCCTTGTTTTGTTAAGTTAGCAGTTGCTTCAAGAAGATCGTCCATCGTAAACTTCTCAACATCTTCCATGAAGAAGTAAAGTTCTGAGCTTTTCTCTTCAGTGTTACACACTCCATCCACAACTTCATCTGAGGGAGTTTTTCGAGGAGACGGATAATCAACTACTTCCTTTATAACCTCCTTATCCTTAACTGTCCCAACACATCTCATATACAAGAATACTAAAACTACTAACACAATCACAGTTCCAAGAGATATGAGTACCCAAACCATCAGACTCACATGATGATTATTTGTCTTCTTATCGTCACTTACTGTAGTTGAAGATGAAGATTCTTTAATAGTTACACGTCTCAACGCGTGTAGACTCATCATACGTTGTGAGGAAGTGAAATTGTTCTTAGAAATGTTAAGTTTTTTAAGATTCTTGATCCTTGTCAATGACTGCATTAGTACTAATGAGTTTCCACTAAGAAAGTTGCTGCTTAAATCAAGAACAGTTAAACTTTTACACGATGATATCGATTCAGGAACAGTTCCCTCAATCTTATTCCTAGCTAAGCTAAGAACTCTCAAGTTTGAGAGTTTACAGAGTGACTCTGCATCAATTACACCACTAAGATTCATGTTCTCAAGTCTTATTTCTATGATTTCTTCGGAACGTAAATCACACTTAACACCATGTAATTTGTAGTAACAAGGGTAAGAAAACAAAGCATTTCGATCAACGTTTAGTACATTGTTTGGATCAATAGCAACAAGAAAACTGATAAATGATTTGGATTCGATAAACTCGCCTCCATTACAGAATCTGATAAAAAGAAGAGAAAGTAAAACACTTACAATGAACTTGAGAAGATTGTCCATCTATTTAGCTAAGATGAAATGGTGTTGTTTGACAGTGTACTAGGTTACTAAGTGTGTTAACATATGATTTCACAACATAGTATTATCCATTTTTTTGGTATTTTCTTGTCTTTGTGACCTTGTTTTTGTTCATAGTTTCCAATGTTTTCATGTTTTGACTTGATCTCTAATCTACCTTGTAATATTCATATTCATACTATAATGACTAGGAATTGGACAAAGATCATATCTTTTATGAACATTACAAGGTTGTGGTGTCTTTACTATTGGAGCTTACCTATAAGTTCAAAGAATTTTCGATTTTTCTAGTTAGAATGGATTGGTCGTACGTATTCAATCAATAATTGTTTATGACTGAATTGCTATTTTACTTGGTTTTGTGGGAGAGGAAAATGTTTCAAGAATATGAATATCTAAGTTGATTGGACTCGGTGTGCGGGTGTCTAGAGGTCGGATCCTTCACGAATTTTAAGATTTCGGGGGACAGATATGTGTGCGGAGATTCGGCTAAAAATAGTTCAAATATTTAAAAATAGAGTTGTTGGTTTAAATTATGACACACTGTGCCAGGTATTTCATCAAGGAGAAAATATTGATCAAGATGAGAGTTAGAAGAAGGAGATGAAATGATTGACGTAGAAATTCTGTATACAAGTTATATGATCTTCTTCAATTTCACCTTAGCTTTTACATTATACAATGTATGTCCCGAATTTCCATGTCAATTTTGATCGAAGTACCCAAAATCGATTGACCTAATCCAATATGGATCTCACACCCATACTATACCATGTCGATACGCGTGCATCACGATTAGGCATCCAAACGCTATTACTTATCTTTCTAACAAAAAAAGATATATTATCATACAACCCATCCTCAACGGTAAGTGTCCACACCATTCGACTAGGAAATCACGGGTTCAGATCATGTAAATAGACTCTCACAAAAATACAAAGCAATGTTTCATTCAATAGAACCCAGTATGATTTGGCCCTTCCATAGGCCACACAAATAATGGGAGTTTAGAGCACCGAGTTGTGCTTACAATAGATGTAGAAGCAGAATTGTTTGGGCAACTTCATGGTTTGAAAGTAGTTTGTCATTAAAGCTTAATACAAATCAAAATTAACTCCTCCATTTGTCGCACCTCCATTTACGGGGCAACATTTTACGTATCAAACATTTTTTTTAGATATGTCTAATACATACCATTTTCGTATTTGACCACTTTCTTTAGAGATCGCATCACATTCGTTAATCAATAATTACTAACAAGATAAAAGATATTTAACAAATTTATTACTTCGGATTAACTTGTCCTCCCATGTACATTAACATGCGAAAAATATTTAATTGCTTCATTAGTTAATAATCAGTACTAATTACTAACAAGATAAAAACATTAACCTTTTCTGAATTAACAAGACCAAAAAAGAAATATTATGTCCAAATACCACCTTTAATAAAAAATTGTGTTGTGAAAAACGTGCCCAACATATTTTTTTCTTCAGAGAAGCAGCCACTTGTCTGCTTTTGTGAGGCATTATGGCTTAAGTGATGATTACATTAATACTAATTAAACGAGTTCTCATCACCAGAAAATTTCAAATAAGAGCATAATCTTTTAATATCCAAGTTATTTAAATGAAACGATTTTTTCTTTAAAAATTTATCAGAAATTGATATGATTTGATATAAATACTAATTACAACTACGTTTTTCTTAATTTTGGTAGGTATTATTTTTATTTTATACAACCGTGAATAGAAAATATCATCATTAAATAATATAGTGCAGTATATGAGGTTATTTCTTCCTTTATTAAAGATCTCGAGTTCAAATTTTAAATATGAAAAAATCCTTGATATACTTCCCTATAATACGGATATCGAACACGGGCGAGAAATAAAAAAAGACCGTTATTGGACCCTACAAACCAAACCGGCGGTCGACGCTTGTGAAGAAATTATTATGTTGCATATGGCCCTACGCCGTATAAAAAACAGCTGTTTTTTTTTCTTTTTTGGACCTTTTCCTACTTTTTCGTTTCAAACTTTTTCTTTTTCCATGAGTGCTAATAAATTTTTTTATTTGAAGTTCGACTAATTCAATTTTAATTCAAAATTTATTTTGAATACAATATATTTCTTATAAAAAATAACTTTATTCTTGAGGTTTAAATTCTAAATTTTTTATCAAACATGAAAATTGACATCCAAATTAATTTCATATACAAAATCATAAGAGATAAAGTGAATGTTTATTTTTTATTATATTTATCACTTCGCAACACCGCACGACAAACTTTGGTGGTGGTGTGTATTAACTTATCCTTTTGTGATTCGATTTGTTTAAAGTGGGAAATGGCAAATGCAACACACGCCAACAAATATTATTGGTCTTTTTATTTATTAATTTTATAATAATATTTTAAAATTAATGGGATTTGTTTAGTCCAACAAATAGAAAATTGGACAGCGTGGCGACAACTTGAGTATATATGTCAACTGCTTCTTTACTTTGCTTACAAGTTCCACCTCAGGTTTTTTTCCTAAATAAATAAAAAGCCATTACATCATACCAAAGGTTATTTTTGTTTCCTTTTGTTAAAATTTGAATCAATCCCCATTTTTGCTTTTACCAATTCCAAATTTTTGACTTGTCCCAATATGAAGATTTAGTTCTCCTATCACTTCAAGGGTATGAAAGGTTATCATGTTTACGTCAAATTAATACATGTATAATCATACGTAATCATGATTTGGCATCAATATCTGGTGTGAGTGAGTATTTACATGTGTTGTCCAATCGGAAATACAATGAAATGAATTCAAGCTAGCATTCAATCTTCAAATAGTATTTAGTAACAAATGTATGTACAAGTTCCTTAACCAAAATCCACTCTTTTCTATTGTCTTTTCTTTTGCAATAGTTTCATAATAAAAAGCAAAACCATTTTCTTTTCTTCTTTTTGGAAGAAAAGGCAAAAACACTACAAGCAACAAATCAACACCACAAACTCCACAACAAAGCCTAATACAACTAACTAATATACTAGCAAATAATAGCTATGGCTGATCTAAGCATGCCAAAAGTTGTTACTAGTATACTCTTCATCGTCATTTTCGTCATCATCATTAATATCATTAAAGAAAGGGTCTTGAAGGAGTTCAGAAGCAGAGGGTCTAACCCTAGGCTGAGCAAGACACTTCTCAATGAACTTCTTGACCTCAGGATCTTTAACCTTGTCCATGGCCTTAGGCCTCACTCCGGATATCACCTTCTTGTATATCTTCACCACGTTATCACACTCGCTATAAGGTAGTTCCAACGTCACCATCTCCAAAACACACATCCCAAACGAGTAGATATCAATCAACTCAGTATAATCCTCATCATACAACTCCGGTGCCATGAACTCTGGGGTTCCAAGAACCGAATGTGCTGAATGACTCTTCCCTACTATAGTTGCAAAACCCAAATCACCAATTTTAACCTATTTCACAAACACAACACAATCATTCATACTCCCTTCGAAATTCTGAAGTTCATAAAAAAGTTAAGACATGGATAACAATAAAGACTAGCATGAATCAAATAAAAATCAAATCTTTTTTTTCTTTCCAAGTTGAAATAACAATTGGTGAAATGAATACTACCATAAGAACAATGCAATAATGTGCATATATTAAATACTATCATCAAAGGTATAATCAACATTATCCTTTTTTGGTTGAACAAAATAGCTATGACATTGAAGAGTTAATAAAGATAAGGATAATACTAATAACAGATAAAGCAACAACAACAACATATCCGGTGATCCTGCAGGCTGCTCGACTAAACATGATAGAATAACAGATAAGGGAACAACAACAACATAGCCGGTGATCCTGCAGGCTGCTCGACTAAACATGATAGAATAACAGATAAGGGAACAACAACAACATAGCCGGTGATCCTGCAGGCTGCTCGACTAAACATGATAGAATAACAGATAAGGGAACAACAACAACATAGCCGGTGATCCTGCAGGCTGCTCGACTAAACATGATAGAATAACAGATAAGGGAACAACAACAACATAGCCGGTGATCCTGCAGGCTGCTCGACTAAACATGATAGAATAACAGATAAGGGAACAACAACAACATAGCCGGTGATCCTGCAGGCTGCTCGACTAAACATGATAGAATAACAGATAAGGGAACAACAACAACATAGCCGGTGATCCTGCAGGCTGCTCGACTAAACATGATGGAATACCAGATAAAGCAACAACAATTACATATCTGGTGATCCTGCAGGCTGCTCGACAAAACATGATAGAATAACAGATAAAGCAACACCAACTACATATATTGTTTCCGATAGACCCTCTGCTCGACAAAACATGATATAATATCAGAAAAAGCAAGAGGTCAATGATATACCTGACCAATATTGCCATTAATGAAGACATTACTGCAATTGAGATCCCTGTGAATAACACATGGTTCATGAGTATGCAAATAGTTCAATCCCTTAAGAATCTGCTTAGACCACTTCTTCACTGCCTTCATCGATACGTGTTTGTGTTTCTTCCTATACTCTCTCAAATTCCCTGAAGTACAAACCTCTGTTATGAAATTCAACGTGTTGCGATTTTCATCCCTCCAAACAGAGTACAATGCAATTATGTTCTTATGCTTTAGAGTTTTCAATAGCCGGACCTCCGAATACAGCCGGTCAATCACCTGCTGATCATCCATGAAATTACGCAATTTCACTTGGTTCCAAGCTACTTCAATCCCTTCTTCCTGATCAAACGCTCTGTACACCTTCTTCACTGCTCCATAACCCAATAGCTCGTCGTACCGCCCATATCTCCCCGTCGGATCCAGTTCAATGAACGGCTCCGATTCCCGATCCGGATCCACACTCACGCTCTGCACCTTCACCCAGATTTTTTTAAAAAAAAAAACTCCAAATTAGTTGAAATTTTCACCAAAATAACA